AAAAAAAAAAAAAAAAAAAAAAAAAAAAAAAAAAAAAAAAAAAGAAATAATAAAAAACAAAAAATTGTATTTCATACTAATTCAAAAATAAAAATGATATAAAAATGGTAGATTATAAATATTAATTTATATATTTATATAACAATGATAAAATATGAAATGAATTTTCTATCACACTCGTACCACTGTGCAATGGGCGTGCTTTCCTTTAATTTGCAAAATAGGCAAAACCGCGTCGACTAAAACGCAAAGCACAAAACGCGATAGAAGTTCGTCTTAAGCTAATTTCAGCAAAGAAGGAAAGCAAAAGCCGCAAATAAATTTAAAGCAGAAAGTGAACGCGACGCCAAAATCGATAAACTAAAGTTATTCGCTTTTATTTTTCTTCTTATTTTTGATTTTTGTTCATATTTGATTTGTTTCTAGAAGAAAGTTTAGCTCAAGATACAAACAAATATTCAAAGTGAAAGAAACAAAATACATAAACAACTGTGAAAAATATGCTAAAGTCAAGCAAAAGTCAGCAAAAGCAACAATAACAACATTCAACTGAAGCTAAAAGCAAAAACAAACGCAAAACCAGAAACAAACACAAACACAAAAACAAAAGCAAAAGTGAGTGTGAATAATGTTGAGAGCGCCCACACAGCACATTGTGGAACTGGGTTTCGGTACAGCGGCTGCCACAAGCGAAAAGAAACAGCAAAAGCAACAGCAACAACAGCAGCGCAAAAGTTTACTGCAAAAGCTTAAGCAGCAACAGCAAAAGCTACACAAGCCATTGACAGCAGCGGCAGCGCAGCCAGCGGAAGCAGCAGAGACAAATCAAAAGAGAGCAGCGCGGGCAGCAGCTGATTATTATTTTAAGCAGCAGCAGCAGCAGAGCGAAAAGTGTTTACTGTTGCTGGCGACGACAATTACAGTTGAGCAGCAGCAGCAGCAGCAGAAGAAAAAGAAGGAGCATACTAGTTACAGTTTTGCAGCTGCGCTGCGGCGAAATAAGAAGCCAAAAACAATAACAACAAACCCAGCAGCGACAGCGACTGCGACGGACGACGAGAGCAGCAGCAATAAAAGCTGTAGCAGCATTAATAGTAATAACAAAAACAGCAACAGTTTGTCTAATAGTTGCATTAACAACCATAACAACAACACTCATTATAAAAACAGTAAAAACTGCAGCAGCAACAGTAACAGCAGCAACAACAACTACATCAGTAATTACAATTTCAAAACAAGTGAACAACAAGCGTGGAAAACATCAACAATAACAACAACAACAGTAACAGTAACAGCAGCGGCAGCCGCACAACAACAGCTGCTCATTAACAGCAGTCGACGCAAAAGCAGCAACAATAACATAAACAACAACATGTCACCCACATCGCAGGCGCCTACACGTACATCGCTGTTCGATTCCTGTCATCGCAAGATCCGTCTAATTGGCGGCGGTCCAGTTGCCTTCTTGGGCGGCTTAGTGGCGTAAGTTGTTGCTCTTAAGTTTCATTATGGCTAAACCACATTTCTAAATTGCACATTTTCTCTCTTACATCAAAATCCAAAGCGTGGGATTATTTGCTGTAATAATTTATTCTGATTGGACTGCATGACATGAATGTGTACTTATGTAAAGCTCTGTTAGCCTTATGCTAAATTGTTCTCTCTGTTTTCTATTTCTTTTTCTCTCTCTGGTAGGAAAATGTCAAGCATGTAATGTATTCCAATTGGAATTACGGGCAATCCAATTTGAGTAAGCTACATCTGTTAGCCTATGATAAACTTTCTGTTCTCTCTCATGAGAAGCCCAAACGTGTCTGTAATTATTTATTCCAATTGGAATTTATGACAATTGTATTGGTCTAATACATACAACCATTAGCAGCTCTTTCTTATACGCACTTAGATCTACAACGCTAGATAGCCTTATAGAATATTCTGTTCTATTTACACTTATATTTCGCTTTGCCCAAATACCTCAGAAGACCGAAAGCTAATTAGAATTTGAATACATGGTACGAGTAACGTGACCAGAGGTCAAACGAAACAGAAAACCCACCTTTTTCGGCTTAGATAAATAGCATTAGTGTCTTATTTACGTAGTTTTTTTGTTTTATGACTTTTAATTACAATCATTTCTCAGGCGGCTTTTGTTTAAGCAAACCAGCTAAAAGCTAAAAGCTCTTTGTAGTTCAAACTCAAGGCAAGGGCCATTAAAATATCTCGGAAAACAAAAACAACATTAAAGTTTTTTATGTTAAAGTTAGCTCAGCTGCCAAATAGGCCTGAAAAGCGTATTTTTTGAAGGTCAAACTCGCAGCGTTAGCTAACATCGCTGTTAATGTGCTGCAGTTCACAGTGTGCACGCAGCACTTGTTCTGTTCCTTAACAGTGCTGGCGGCTGTTAACAACTTGTTCTGCTGCACCTAGCGGTTTATACAAGAGCTTCCTGGTTACCCAAAATAAGCATTAGCAATCAAATTTCAAGTTAGTTAATTTTTTTTTTTTCTTATTTGAGAATGCAAAGTTAAATGAACTCTCGTTGCGTGGTTGAAGGCGAGAGCCACAGTTGAAGGCAAGCCAAATGACAACAACAGCGACGCCAACGCCAACGACAGCAGAGCGCTGACTCTGTCAACACAAAGTGCGCTGAACTGATAATTAGTTAGAAATGTAAATATTGACAGAAGTGAGCGTGCATAAAAAAAAAGAGGAGCGAAATACGTAACACAAACACGAACGCCAGGAAGAGGAAGCAGCAAAAGGAGGCGCGTTGTCAACTGCTTTGCTCAGCAAGTCGCCCTCTGCCGCTCCCTCGCTCTGCCTCTCAGAGAGCAACTTTGACTTGACAAAGGAATTAAGCAGTGTTGTTGTTGCGCGACGTCTCTGCCGCGCTGGCCTTAATGCATGCAGCTAACTCGCTCACGCACATTGATTGACTGCTTATACGCATGTATGTGTGAGTGAAGACAATGACTACGAATATGCGTGAGAGTGTGAGTAGTCAGAGAACAAGGCAAAGACGAAGCGCAAGCACGTAACAAGTCAATTGTTATTGTACGAGAGACAGAGAGGTAGCGGCAGAGCGCAGCGTAGACGATGATAAACCTGTCAAAGCGCAAAGTGTCAATGGGAGGCATACAAAATAAAATTTGCATAATAATGTCTATATTGCTCTCTCTCTCTGTCTCTCTCTGTCTGTCTGTCCCTCTTTCAATCTCTACTTCATTCGAAGTTCGATACAAGAAGTCTTCAAAATTTGAATAAAAAATGATGTAAACAAAACAAAAGAAACGATATGCGAAGAGGCAGAGAGAAATACAAGTAAAAATATGACTGCATGAATAAGAAAATCACATAAATGACTAATATTGTGTCTTAAGAGTCATTCAAACAGCTCATTGTGTGCATTTTGTTGCTAACTGTACTTTGTCGGCAGCAGGCCCACAGGTAGCTGCTGCTGGCTAGAAGGGTTTGTGGTGGAGGGCTAATTGAATGCTGTCAAGCGTTCAACGGTGACAAGCTCCAAAGTTTCGCCTTTTTTTTTTTTTTTTTGGTTTTCTTGTGGCTTTTTTGCATTGAGAATTTCAAACAATTCGCAAATTGAAAGTCCAAACGGATTTCTTTAAAAATATATATTTTTAAATGGTGTTACGCATACAAGCTCACACACACACACATTCACTGAAATTCACGCTTACACATGCAAGCATATACATATGTATGTAAATTGAAGGTCGCTGACCTAACTTTAGTATTGATAACTGCTGTTAATTGGGAAACTGTTAAGCAGCAGCGCAGAGCTGTGGCTGAAGACGGTCTGTTAAAGTCTAATAAGAATTGCATATGTTTGTACTATAGCAGAGCACTGCCTTGCATTTTCTAATAGGAATGCGTGCGATATATACGATGAATGCAAAGTTACATTGTCCAATTTGTCTAATACGATATCTCTTGACTTTAAGAATGTTAATATTCTTTCTATCCATATTCAACTTATGTTAAATATTCATGTTAAATCAAGTATCCAATTAGAATTATATTAGACCAATGCTCTGTAGCAGTTTTATTTCGTGTTAGCTGAACGATTGATTCTCTCTGTTATGCACTTTCATCAATTTCGCTGTCTCTGAATGAGTTGATTATATAAGTTACGACTCGGCCCCATTGCCTGGGTAATCCTTTAAGCTGCTGCCATTAAACTGGACATGTTTTATGTGTTTGCACTTGCACTTTTCGCTTCGGCTTTTGTTTTGTTGCTGTTTGCTCGTGTTTGCTTCACTCTGCTTGCTGTTTATTCACGTCTTTTGTAATTTATCTGCTCTCTGGACTACTTTCTTTCGCTCTGACTAAGTTTATGAGCTCCACATTTGAGTAATTTTTTTTTTTTTACATTTTAATATCTCATGTGTTCTTTGTTGTCTGGCAAAATGTTTTAATTTCCTGTTCCAATTTAAAGCACTCCACTTACCACATGAATATTGCGTCACAGTTGTTTTATGCCTTTTGGGCCTGAAGTGTCATGAGTTTTGCCAAGTGTTTCCCTGTTCGTTGATGAACTGATTTTTAATTTACAATATGTTTTATTATTCTTTATTAACTATTTAATAACTATGCATGAATATAGTTTTCAATATTTGTGATTTAAATAATCATCTGCAATATTTTATTCATTTTTTTATTTTTATACCCTGAACCCATTGAAAATGGGAAATCAGGGTATAATGGTTTTGTT